CTCAGTTCAGAATGTAGATTATTCAGCTCAGATCCCTGAGAATGAAGTATAGTTTTAAAAATAATAATAGAAGTCATAGTAAGAGTGAAAACAACCCAGTAATGGTGAAACAAAAAGAGCTCAAAGAGGAGTCTTGTAGGATAATACAGAGGATTACAGCCACTCCGTAGCTGTTGGCTGGCTGAGCAGTAATGCCAGTGAGCATCATTGTCCTACTGTGTTTCTCAGCCATTTGGATTCAGCTAGGCAGATCATCTGTGCTGTTGCTTCTAGGGCCAAAATAGCGGCGTGCACTAAGCCACCGGCCCTCATGGAGCAGCCGCTGGCAGATAGAGGGTTTTGCTGGCTGAAGTGACCTCCAAGCTCTCCATCCACAGCTGGGGGGGAAGCAGGGGAGCTCGAGGCATGCTGGGTGCCAGCTGGCTTGGCTGGTCCGGCAGCGGTTTTGAGCGAGCCTCTGGTGCCTTGGGGATTCTCTGATGACCTCTCAAGGACTTGTCACTTGAAGCCTGGCTTAATAAACCTCTTTTCTCTTGGCAACTGAGGCCGATTCCCTAGAGCTGACAGGTCTCAAAAGTTGTTTTGAAATTATTGGGCTGGTTGCATTGGTATGTTTCTAGTCCTAATGGAATAAAGCCTTTTTTTTTTTTTTAAGGAAAGGCCATGTAAATGCTGCGTCTTTCTCCTCCTTTCACTTCTTTTTTTCCCCAAACTTTCAGCTTTCAATAATATAATGACCACCATTGTAAGTGCTGCAAATTTGGCTCCTGACCCCTGTGTAGACAGTGAGAAAATATTCATACTTTTACAAGCGCTGAACATCTCTGGGTTTCTCTCTGACATTAGTTTACCATCGCTGAAGATATTCCAAATACCAGGGCTTAGGTAGTGTTTGAAAAAAAAAAACACAGGCCACCACCTTTTTCTGAGGACCAATTTCAGTGGGATTTATTTTTCTAAATGTCTTTATGAATCTGGGTCTGAAAGGACTTGAAGGTAGGTCAGAAAGGCAAGGAATTTTCCAGGATTTTAAAATGAAAGGTGCTGCTGTGGTACATACCTGCAGATCAAACTCTTATTTCAATCGTGTAAGGCAATTTCAGCTGCAGAAGAGGTTTCCTTTTAAAGCAGGAAAAGGTGGAGAAAGTAATATCCAAAGTGCTTTTGATTTGATTCCTACTGCTAATGTGTCCCTTTACTGCAGCTGCAGACTCTATAAAGTATTTAATCTGCAACCTCTTCAGAGATTTCCTCTGTTAGTGGCTTTTCTTGGACCAAGGTAATTTCTCTAGTATTCTTGTGGGTCCAGATGTTGTGACCTGACACTAAGAAGCTCCGTTTTCTAGAACGAGTCTGTTTTGTCTGCCGGTCGAGCTATCACGAGGTAGGGTGAGGTGTATCTGCTGTATCTCTGAGGCTTGTAAGCCCTGGAGCAGCAGTGGGCAGTGGGGAATGTGACAAAACTTCATTGGAGCTTCGTTTGTTTTCCCCAGAAAATCCATCATATCTGGCTGCTGAGCCGCACCGCCAAGCAGCTCTGACAGTTCTGTGCTGCTCGATGCCTGTCTCATCTCTGAGCTGTGTAGGAGTTGGCAAAGGCAGATTAATATTTAACGTACCTGGAGGCTTTGATCTTTCAATTGTAGTCTGGATACATCTAAAACCTCATAAAATGCAAGCAGAAGACATGATGCTGCCTTTCTATTCACTAATGAAGAGACTGTAGCACCCCCGTAATTTCAATTCCTTCTTCTGTCTCAGGCCATTTAATTTCTCTCCGACTTGCCTGTCGGGAATCCTTATCACCAGCCTGCTGGATGCTTATGCTGAAACTGCCTAATTTCCGGGCTTTCAGCTGCATATTTGAACCACTTGTCTTTAAAAGCCTCTTTGCCTGATCCTATTCTGGACCCTGAAATGCCCCTGCTACAAAGAAAAGCTGGGACACCCTGCCTAGGATGTCCTGCAGGCTGGTGTCCAGGTGGTCTCCTGGGCTGTGGGGTGGGAGCTGCAGGCTAAGGCAGGCAGGACCCATGTCCTCTGCTTGCTCAGCCCACAGCATCGGTGTGGTCGTCACCCAGGATAGTCCCACTCCCTGTCACGCCAAGGTGGCTGTTGCTGAGGGTTAAACACCTACGTTCAGGTGTCTGGAAGAGACTTCCAGGTATGAGCATCTGTCACGTCCTCCTGGCTGGCTAAGGTAAGGACAACTCTCTGCTTTCCCACATAGGGAATGTTGGTCCCTAACTTGGCATTGCAAAGCCTGTTCTTGCCACGGACCCCCTCACTTTCCAGTCTACTAGCAGTGACTATGCAAGTGCCAAGTCTGGCCCTAGAACCCTTTGAAGGGAAGATCTGGAGAAACACGCTTCTCCTCAACCTTTCCTCTTGGCTAGATTTTGTTTCTTCCTCTTTTGCTTGCTGGCTATTGTGAATCATGGGCTTGGCAAAAGCAGGCAGGACCATCCACCATGAATACTGTGAGGTCCTCTAGGCCACAATATACCAAGACGCAGTGCCTTGTACCCTAGGTGTGCACTCTCCTTTTGGGGACATGTGGCCAGATTCAGGCTTAATGGATGTGAAGTAATTTGGTATGCATGTGAGCAGAAGAGTGCTATCACAGAGATCTCATACTTCAAAATTAAATCGAGACTGTGGTCAAATAGTTTGTATAACCTTTGAAAATAGCTGCAACATGGCCAGCGGCCTTTCGTCTTAGTTGTGGTAGCATGAGCAAAATTTTGGGAATTGAGCACTCTTGAAAGGAAGGGGGGAAAAATACTGTAAGCATTTGTATACGAGCGAGTGTTGTCTTTCCAGAACCTGCACCCTATGCTATGAGAGATTTTGTAGATGACATTAGTGCTTAGTAGTCTGAGAGGAGTGTTGCTGAGTCTACAAAATGCATCTCTAGTAAGATTGTCTATACTGTCATCTGCTAGACTAAAAAGTAATGGGAAATAGGAAAAATTTTCAAGAGGCCTTGAAAATAAAATTGTTATATTACATCTTAGTGGAAACTTCCTTTTTTTTGGTCCACATCTCTTGGGTCTTCTTTCTGGTTGGCAAAGCTTGTCTGTGAAGTAGTTCATGCCTGTCCTGTTTGAGGAGCGTGGCATGTTGTGGCTGTGAAAATCTCCAGGTAGTCCCTGTTCCTTCCTTGCTCCGTGGGAGGATTGCCCAGCACCGATGATTTTTCCCTAGGGTTTCCTGCCCCACTGAAGCCCATTGGTCTACAACTGTATCAAGACCCCTTGACCTAGGACCTCTTCCCAGGTCCAAGCATAGATCCCCCTTTTTTTTCATGTATGGTCTTTCTGCTACACCTCTCTCTTGTTTGGAAGGAAAGCTGGGGAAGAGATTTTGGTCAGAATAGTCTCACAGCATACACCAGTCTGTGACCTGGATCTGGATGATCAGTGAGAACTGGGGGTGTGTTGTGGAGCAGCCCTGGCCTGCAGTGTGGATGTGGCATCAGATAGTGTAGTAAGGGCGTTGTGAGGCAGAGCATCCCCTCCTCTAGCTCATGCTGTGCCCTCCCCACATGAGGAGGGAGGCAAAATCTGCTCCCGTCCAGCCTCCCTGCTGCAGTCTACTCATTTATCTCCTAGAGGTCAATAATGGAAGCACAAACTGGACAGCAATTCAGAGTGATAATTTATTTCTCCAACGTCATCTACTTAGTCTTGCTGCTAAGACATCTATTAAACATATCAGAGTTGATGATGGAACTCAAAATTAGGGCAAGGCTTTTTAATAGTGTAAGCAAAATTTTGCTGCATGTGGAGGACGGTCTGCCTTTCCCTTGCTCTGTCCGTAAAGTTTTGGTACTTGTTTCAGCAGCTCATTCTCACTCTGAATCTCGTTATTCTGTCCCTGCTGAAGAGCAGTTACACCTTCAGGCCATCCCAAAGGTCCACCCCCCTAGACTCCCAGCATGTTGAGACACACAGACTCATGTACTGGCCCCACACCTGTGCCTAATCTTACTTGGCTTATTTTTTGAAGGGAATCAGGGAGTAATAAAGCCCCAATCTTCTTGTTCTAGGTGTAAAATGTACATGTCTGTATTGTGGCTATAAAAGATGATATACAAGTGCTTTCTCTTGAAACCCTGATACGACTTCCAGCTTGTTTGTGTAATACAGAGGCTTGGTCGAAAAAAGGACTGGTAAAACATTTCAGAAGTACATAAATAACAGTTTGTCAAAGGGTATTTCTACAGACCCCCTAAATATCTACTTTTGATGGTCCTTTCACACAAACTCCATTTCTCTACTGTTGTTTTGAGAGATCTCTTCATAGCCTAATATCAGGCAAGCCATTTAACTTGTAGGCTTAGACAAGGGTAGTTTCAGAGGTGAATCTTTTCAGGATTTATTGAAGGCTCTGATGTAACTTCATTGCATGATATAGTGAAATATTATCTCCCTTCCACCCTCAACGAGTTACGAGAGGGCTATTGTATCAGACAATTTGCTGGGTGCAATTTCACTGCTCAGGTAGGAGGCAAGTGAAATTTCAGGCCTTTCGGTTGGTCTTATTGTCTACTGAATTACCTCTTTAGAGCAGTGTGCACTCTTTCTAAGTGGCAGCTTAGCAGTAAATTCTTTCAGTGCAAGCTCGTGTACTGTATTTTCTCCTTTGACCTTTCCAGAGCCCTGCCTCCAGTGAGAAATCATGAATGCAGAATTGCCTATTATTAGCATTTCTTAATCTCCTACTTCTTAACTACATTGATTCTGAGCTTTATCTACCCAGTCGTAACACCAAAACAAACCGTTGAGTGCGCTGCTGCATGTTTCGTGTTATGTGGAACATACAACCTGCTCGGAGGACCTGTACACGCCCTTCTCACGCTGTGTGGGTTATGGCATGCAAAAGTATATTGTATTTGTAGTAGAATGCTGCATGTGTTCAGAAACTGTTGAAAGTTTTTGGAATTCTTATAACTGTTTATTCATTCTTTTGTTTAGGAGTCAGTGACCTGTAAGTGCTCATTATGAAGAGAGATCTGGTTTTCTTGGTGACTCTAATTAGCCTTGCCTTCCTGTCACTGCTAAGGTCTGGATATCCTCAACATATTGCAGAGGAGTCCTGCTCTGTTCAAATTCTTGTTCCAGGCCTCAAAGGTAACGTGGAAGTCTACTCCATCATTCAAATACTAATCTTTTCTTTCTAACAGGCTCATTTGCACCACTGTTTGTAGCAGAGACAAAGAAGGTGCCTTTCAGTTGTCCTTTTATTTGTTCAGCTTGTAATCTCCTTAAAAACGTTTTAAGGTTCGTAAAATGAACTTAGTATGTTAAAATGTACATGGTTCAGAGAATGCATGCTGAAGTTTCCCAGACTTACTCCTGATCAGTAGTGCTTGTTACTCTGATATGCTGCCTTGGTTGCTTTCTCTGTGTTTATACTCATGAATGGCACGCATACCCAAAGACTGTAAAATCTGGCCTTACTTTATATCTGGAGAGGTATTCATTGCCATCTTGCGATGTACTAATGGGAAGTATTTTGTGGTGTTTTGTTTTTTTAGTCTTCTGCTTGTCTTCCCTTGATTTTTAAATGCTCGGGTGCCTTTTAGAAGAAATAAAATGGGTTAGACTTTTGGCATTTCTGTAATTTCTGTCGACAGAAGCAACATTTTCATGAAATATGCCCCCAAACTATTGTCCCAAAAAGATGGCATAACAAATTATTGATCTTTTTGTAAGAAAAAATGTATTAAAGTACTTTAGATAGGAAATCATCACTTGGGAAGAATTAGCATTTTAAAGCAACAACATCCATTATGGTGTGAAATCCTAGCCCTTTTTAGTCAGTAACAGTAATTACCATTATGGAGGCTATGGTATTTCTACTGGAGTGTAACACCTGTGAGCATGGGGAAATACCTGTTAACTATGGATGAAAAACCATGAAAAGCCCCTGTTTATCATTAACGATCAAAAAAATGCATTGTTTAAGAACTGCACAACTAACTTTCTTGCTTTTCTGGTACTTATGCATTGCAGTATCACAAGACTCACCTGACAATATTGATGCCACTAGCGCTGTCTAGCACAATCGTGGGCTTTACCCAGTTGCCTGGGGACCATAGTATGGACTGCAGGCACTGGCTGTGCTGGTCAGTTGATCGGTGAGGGCCAGGCTCAGTTCTGTCCTGCAATTGTTCATACACTGAAATTGTGAGCACAGCTTGGCTGTGTTGCAAACTGTCCTCTCCAGAGATTGCCTGGTTTGGATGTGGCTTCCCTGTGCTGGAAGTGAGAGAATTGGGCTGTAGGGATGTGTGTTGTGCTTAGCCAATTGGCTTCAGGACCAAAAAAGCTCTCCCGTTTTGTTTGTTATTATTATAGATGCAGCTTTGGATGCTTGAACTGAACCAAAATCTTTATTTTACATCACTAAATGGCCTTTGAAGTCTTAATAATATTTACACCTTCTGCAGATGTTCTAGTTAGAAAGAACACTATATCCAGGTCTTCTGAGGTTTGACTAATCCTTAACTAAAGTTGCTTCATTTGTTAGATATATTTGCCGTGAAACAGGCATACGATAGTGCTGTTGATGTGACTCATGAAGAACACAATAAAGTTAAATAGATGTTGTCTGAAGTTGCGCAGATCAGTCAAAGGGTCAGACCCCACAGCACTGGGGACCGAAGCTTTGAAATGATTTTTCATTTTAAAGAAGTTGACGGGCTTTGACAAGTTTTCCAACTTCTCTGCCTTAGTTTCCTTATTTGTGTAATCAGTCAAAATTAATATCTGTGATTACCATTTAAATGAAAGGACCATTATTATTATTACTATTATTATTATTATATGCAGCAGAGTTTTTTAAAAATCTATAAAGAGTGCAGGACCTTGGCCTTTTGTCAGAAGGCAATTCTGTGCCAGGAAACAACAAAGAGGTCTGAAAGCCATCATGTGTTAATGATTTCACTCTGCTTCATGAGATGTAAGCCTTGGAAAGTGAGAGAGATTGATGTACAAATTCAGTGAAGCACAAAATGGCCTGATAGAGCCCTAGTTAATGTGAAATCCCTAAAAAGCTATCAATGCTCCAGCTATGCTGTCACAGGGCTGGGCTCAGAGAATTGGTAATGAGACACTGCTGTCCCTCACTGGCACATCTCCAACCCATTTTGGTGGCCAAGGCTTCCTTTAAACTGAGCATATATGTGGCTGCGTGCCCAAATTTCAGCTCCCACGCAGTGGGATTTGCTCACTGCAGCTTTTAGATCTGCCCCATCTTCCCTGCTGGGCTGCTTGGGATTTGGGAAAAACAGGTACAGGGAGGGAGTGGAAGAAATGAGGGAGACCATGGGATGTGTGAAAGGAAAATAATATAGGAGAGGGTTAAGCCTAAGAGGTGGTGCAGAAAGTAGAGCCCAAATCAGTGGTGAAGGAGAAAGACACCGGGGAAAAGTACTCAGAAGTGGGGGAGCATAATGGAGACATTTTAGGAGAACAGGAAGACATAAAGGGAAAAAAGAAAAGAAGGGCACAAAGAATGAGACTGAGTGGAGAGACTGGAAACCAAAAAAAAAAAAAAAGAAAATGACACAACCAATTAGGACCCCACCGAATAAAAGGGGGAATCGGAAGGGGGATGAAATGAGAATGGAGGTGGAAATGGAAGATGAAGAAAGCCAGTAAAGACACCAAGAATAGAAAAAGGCACAAATGAGTTTAAGGTCAGCAGCTTAGGTCCTGGGGACTGATTGTTGTTTTTTTTTCGAACCTGAACAGTATAAAGGAGTGAGATGAAATGCAGAAGGGAAAACTACTGTGGCTTTGAGAATCTAGAAAGCAGACTGATCCGTGTTTTAGAAAGCCGACAATATTAATAATGGAAAAAGTGTGTTGTGTTTGAAGGGATGGATGGTGAAGCCTCGCTGTGTTCCTCACTCATATTCTTCCTGAAGTCCAGTTGCTTCTGATAGGCACATGAGACTGAAGTTACTACTGTTGTGGAGAAAAAAATAACATCCTTCAAAGCTTAAATTCTCCATTTGCCACCTTGTTTTGTCTCCCTTCTAGAATCTAAAGCAGAAATGGTCTTAATAGTCTCAATGGCATACAATATATAGAAAAGTTGATGCTATATAAATAAAATAAAACCAATTTTTTCACACCCACACTTGATGCATCTACTCACACAGGGGATATGAGTAATAGCAGAAAATTATCACCAGGCAAGGAACGCTTTGCAGCTCGCATAGTCAATATTTGGTGTGCTATTTTCATTATGGTAGGTGGTACAGCTCAGGGTAGGCAGGATGCAAACATAATCAGAGACAAATCCTGTCCCAAAGAATTTACAAAAGGAGGCAAATCAACAGCAATGGTAAGATGTATCATCTGATTTGTGAAAGTTCTCTCTCAGACATGATGGGAGAAGCAGCTTGTAGTAGTGTCAGAGTTGTGCCTAATACCTGTGATCCTGCTGCCAACCGGTTTGGTTCCAGGGATAAATTTTGTTTGGGTGTGTGGGTCATCACAACCCTGTGGAGCACTGGTGGGCACATCTCGCCCCGTCTCTGGGTGAAAGCTGCATTGCGCTGTGGAAGAAGGTACTCTTCGTGTAGTAGGGCTGGAGCAAACAGCCGTCCGGGAAGGGATGGAGAGGAAACTGAGCAGGAGGTATGGCTGCAAAGGGACTCTGACTGCTGGAGGAGGTCATGCTGGAGCAACTGGCTAGGGACAATGCACTGATCCCAGCCTCCTGCTCCAAAGGGACTGGGTGTTATGTGTGTCAGAGGAGCTGGAGACAAGAAGCGGGGGTGTAGAGGTGCCTTTTTCTAAGTTAATTTGTTTTGGTTTTTTTTCCTAATTCAGGAACCAAAAGTTGAAAGTTAGTGTTACTTGGTGATTAATTAAATTTATTGAAATTCCTTGACAGAAAACTGTTTTGTAGGCCATGACACCTGCACAGGCTTTGCTTCCTCAGCTTGCACAGTGCTCAGGGTACATGCTGCAAAAATAGGGACTTCGCAGCTGAACTGGACCACTGATCAGTCCCTCGTGGCCGAGGTCTGCTTAAAAAGGCTGATATAAAAAAGATAAAATGCAGAGTGGTCTGTAGCTAGGCCTGTCATGGTGTAATCTCCTCCCAGGGAAAGTTTCTTAAAACACCCACACTAAGGAATGCAGTGTCATCTTATTATAGGAATAAATGCAGACAAGTGTAATGGCCTGGAGCAAAAGTGATCTATTTTATTGATCCCTAATGCACAGCTTTCACTCTGAAGACCGTGTAAAGCAATAGGCTGTAATAGCCTGCTCTCAGCCTCCAGAGAGCAAGGAAAAGTCATTGTCAGGATTTATCTTTGGGAAGAAAAGAACTCATAACCAGCCCTGAAGGGGGAAAGGCAATCATACAAAGCCTATTGGTTACCTGATAGTGAAAAAAGTGACATTCCCAAATGTGCCAAATAATAGCCTGTTTCATACTAACAATATTATTCACTGGGGATTATGTGAAGTTTGTCCTCATTAAGGTCAGAGAATGGCCGATTTTTGCATGTCTGAAGGCAGGGAAGATGTTCTGGAGCCTGCTGGCAGCCTGAAGAAGGAAAATATAACGGATGGAGGGCCAAGTTCAGCTCAGAGCCACCGATGTCTACGAGGACAGAGGGAGAGAGCCGGAGGCTGCATGTTTGAGACGTGCCATGTTTTCACGTGTAATCTCTATGGTCCCTTTCTGAACCACAGCTGCCAGCTGTGCCAGACCGTGGAGCTCGAGGGGTGTGTGGTAACCGTTGACTTCCCTGCTGGGATGCTCCTTTCGGCTTCCTGGAGAGCAGCTAATGCTCACTCTCCTCTGTAGAAATACAGTGTTGGGGCATCAGGTGTGTTGTGCTGGCTCTGCCATTTAGATCCTGGCATTTTCTTTTCTATGGAAGCCATAGAACTTCTCCTTCCTATAAATATTTTCTGTAAAGGTGGCTATGTAAAACATTCTTTAAACTTCTATTTAAGAGATTTTAATTTTATGCCAATGGCAAACTACAACAGTAGTACAATACTAGAGGGTCAAACAAGCTAAACATCCCCAGATTTCCCATGAAAGGCAGCAGGGAGGCAAACATTTACAGAAACTGCTATTTAAATATGCTGAATATAGTAATGTGCCATGAGCCACGTGCATGTAAGTACAATGCACAGTGGTTTGTTCCACAGAGATTAAAAGGCATGGTATATAACTAAGGATATGGATTAGAAAGATACTCTCTCATGCTTAAAAATGTTCCTCTAAATGATGTATGTAGACTGATTCATCCTTACTCTGTAAATGGCAAAAATGACATAAATAGGTAATTTTTTTTTACTTTGAGATTATATTTAAGCCATTTTCACCTGAGACTTAAGCATGTCCTTAGTGGATACTCAGGAAGATTTTGGGGAACACAGACTCAGAAGTTTATGTGCTAAGTTGGGGCCTAATTCTGAAGCTTCTACTTAAGTGAATTGTGCTGTTGGGCTTTTTGGAGGTTGATAATATGAGTAACATCCACAAAACTAGACCCATTCTATGAGACTTCAGTCATGTCCTGGCTTTGGTTTTGTCAGTGTCTACGCCAGTTGCGTTCTCCATGCATTGAGTGAGATTGCATCTGCTTTTATTTCCCCCTCCCTCTTGTTATAGTGGGTTTTTATTTTCATTGTGGAGAGTGGCACTCTTGTCACTGCCACCAACAGAAAATAGGCCTGGTTTAATATAATGATTTTTTTTTTTGGTTTCCTTTTGTATCAACAGGGGAGGCTGGAGAAAAGGGGGAGAAAGGTGCTCCAGGTCGTCCGGGCAGAGTTGGGCCTCCAGGAGAAAAAGGTAACTTTCTTAAAGAAGATGTTTGGAAAGTCATTCATGACCAAATGCTGCCTTTTCTTGGAGGGTGATGATGATGGGGATCCACTCTCCTTTTGCTAGGTGACTAAATCACCCTTGGGCATTGTCGTGTCCTCTTGTTGTGTATTAACCCTGGTAGGCAGCTCAACTCCACTGAGCCGCTCGCTCATTCCCCTGCAGTGGGATGGGGGAGAGAATTGGAAGAGTAAAAGTGAGAAAAATTGTGGATTGAGATAAAAACAGTTTAATAGTTAAAGTAAACCCACACATGTAAGTAGAGCAAAACAAGGAATTCATTCACCTCTTCCCATGGGCAGGCAGGTGTTCAGCCATCTCCAGGAAAGCAGGGCTCCATCATATGTAATGGTTACTTGGGAAGACAAATGCCATCACTCCGTGTATTGGGTTTACGGGGCAAGGTTTTGGTAGTTGGGGGGGCACAGGGATGGCTTCTGTGAGAAGCTGCTGGAAGCTTCCTCTATAGCTAGAGCCAATGCCAGCCGGCTCTAAGATGGACCCATGGCTGGCCAAGGATGCCGCCATCAGTGATGCTGGTAGCACCTCTGGGAGAACGTCTTTAAGAAGGGGAAAAAGATCTGAAGAGACCAAATTTTGCAGCAGAGAGAGAGCGTGAGATGTGAGAGCAACAACCCCGCAGACACCCAGGTCAGTGGAGAAGGAAGGGAAGGAGGTGCTCCAGGTGCTGGAGCAGAGAGTTCCCGGCAGCCCATGGTGCAGACCATGGTGAGGCTGGCTGTGCCCTGCAACGATGGAGGGTCACAGGGGAGCAGATACCCACCTGCAACCCAGGGAGGACCCCACACTGGAGCAGGGGGATGCCCAAAGGAGGCTGTGACCCCATGGGCAGCCCAGGCTGGAGCAGGTTTGCTGGCAGACCTTGTCACCCCAGTGGACCCAGGGTGGAGCAGGGGGATCCTGAAGGGCTGCACCCCGTGGGAGGGACCCATGCTGGAGCAGTTGGTGAAGAACTGCAACCTATGGAAGGACACAGGTTGGAGAACTTGGTGGAAGACTGTTTCCTGTAGGAGGGACCTCAGGCTGGAGCAGGGGCAGAGTGTGAGGATCCTCCCCTGAGGAGGAAGGAGAGATAGGGACAGAGTGTGATGGACTGACCACAACCCCCATTCCCTGTCCTCCTGTGCTGCTGAGAGGGAAGAGGTACAAGAAATTGGGAGCAAAGCTGAGCCTGGGAAGAAGGAAGGGTGGGTGGAAGGTGTTTTAAGGTTTCGTTTTAGTTCTTCTTTACTCTGATTTTATTAGTGATGAACTAAATTATTTTTTTCCCCAAGCTGAGTCTCTTTTACTCGTGATAATTATTGCTGAATGTTCTCTTCCTGTTCTTATCTTGAGCTGCAAGATTTTAATTGTGTTTTCTTTCCCTGTCTGGCTGAGGAGGGGGTGTGATAGAGCAGCTTTGGTGGGCACCTAGCCTCCAGCAAAGTACCTCCTCTTCTTTTTTCTTCCCTCAGCTCTACATGCTGAGCATGACATCATATGGAATGGAGTATCCCTTGGTCAGTTGGGATCAGCTGTCCCAGCTGTGTCCCCTCCCCAGTTCTTGTGCACCCCCAGCTACTCGCTCCTGGGGTCATGTGAGAAGAAGAAAAGGCCTTGGCTCCAGGGAGAAGGCTCTGGGGAGACCTTATTGCAGCCTTCCAGTCCCTGAAGGGGCCTACAAGGAAGCTGGAGGGGACTTTTTACAAGGGTCTGTAGTGACAGGACAAGGGGTAATGGGTTTAAACTGAAAGCAGGGAGGTTTAGACTGGAGATCAGGAAAAAATTCTTCACGGAGAGGGTGGTGAAGCACTGGAACAGGTTGCCCAGAGAAGCTGTGGATGCCCCATCCCTGGAAGTGTTCAACCCAGGGAGGACCCCACACTGGAGCAGGGGGATGCCCAAAGGAGGCTGTGACCCCATGGGCAGCCCAGGCTGGAGCAGGTTTGCTGGCAGACCTTGTCACCCCAGTGGACCCAGGGTGGAGCAGGGGGATCCTGAAGGGCTGCACCCCGTGGGAGGGACCCATGCTGGAGCAGTTGGTGAAGAACTGCAACCTATGGAAGGACACAGGTTGGAGAACTTGGTGGAAGACTGTTTCCTGTAGGAGGGACCTCAGGCTGGAGCAGGGGCAGAGTGTGAGGATCCTCCCCTGAGGAGGAAGGAGAGATAGGGACAGAGTGTGATGGACTGACCACAACCCCCATTCCCTGTCCTCCTGTGCTGCTGAGAGGGAAGAGGTACAAGAAATTGGGAGCAAAGCTGAGCCTGGGAAGAAGGAAGGGTGGGTGGAAGGTGTTTTAAGGTTTCGTTTTAGTTCTTCTTTACTCTGATTTTATTAGTGATGAACTAAATTATTTTTTTCCCCAAGCTGAGTCTCTTTTACTCGTGATAATTATTGCTGAATGTTCTCTTCCTGTTCTTATCTTGAGCTGCAAGATTTTAATTGTGTTTTCTTTCCCTGTCTGGCTGAGGAGGGGGTGTGATAGAGCAGCTTTGGTGGGCACCTAGCCTCCAGCAAAGTACCTCCTCTTCTTTTTTTCTTCCCTCAGCTCTACATGCTGAGCATGACATCATATGGAATGGAGTATCCCTTGGTCAGTTGGGATCAGCTGTCCCAGCTGTGTCCCCTCCCCAGTTCTTGTGCACCCCCAGCTACTCGCTCCTGGGGTCATGTGAGAAGAAGAAAAGGCCTTGGCTCCAGGGAGAAGGCTCTGGGGAGACCTTATTGCAGCCTTCCAGTCCCTGAAGGGGCCTACAAGGAAGCTGGAGGGGACTTTTTACAAGGGTCTGTAGTGACAGGACAAGGGGTAATGGGTTTAAACTGAAAGCAGGGAGGTTTAGACTGGAGATCAGGAAAAAATTCTTCACGGAGAGGGTGGTGAAGCACTGGAACAGGTTGCCCAGAGAAGCTGTGGATGCCCCATCCCTGGAAGTGTTCAAGGCCAGGCTGGATGAGGCTTTGAGCAACCTGGTCTAGTGGAAGGTGTCCCTGCCCATGGCAGGGGGGTTGGAACTGGATGATCTTTAAGGTCCCTTCCAACCCAAACCATTCAGTGATTCTATGACTCTGTGTAAGCACTGCTCAGCAATAACTAAAACATCACTGTGTTATCAACACTGCTTTGGTCACAAATCCAAAATATAGCACCCTACCAGCTACTTTGAAGAAAATTAACTCTATCGTAGCCCAAAACAGTACGACTGTATTTACACATTTGTAGAGTAACTATTGTTTTCTGGTGTAAAAGATTCATTTTGGGAAAAAAATAACCCAAACTAATTTTTTTTTTGAAAGGTCTCTGTGGAACAAGGCATCATAATGTCTTTCATAATCTGGCTTCTGAAAATGAAAACCTCATATTAGATCAGAGGGAAAAAATCATGAGGCCCACTTTTTTGTTTCCTTTTGTTTGTAAATGTGAACACCTACAATACCTTAATTAAAACCATTGAGGGAAGGCAGCAAGCCATAACAGACAGAGATGGCCATGAATGAGTCCACATTTTTTGGAACACAGTGCAGTAATATTTATGGAAAAATGGTGGTAATGCTGTTTGCATTGTAGTTCAAAAATATTTGGATCTCTTGAGAGGAATAGTACTCAATATTATTCCGTTATACACCTGAGAGAATCCTGGCATTTCTGTCTTAGAGGAAATTCTGTCTTTTCACATTTATTTTTCTCTTGAAGCAAGGAGGATATTTGACCTTCGTAAGTTTTCCAGGAGATGCACATTCTGAAAAATTCACATTAGGATTAGTCAAAACCTTCTATTTCAATATTGGAATTAAACATTTGACATTCCTGTCATCAGGATGATGGAGTTAGTGTTTACTGAACTGAATTTACAAGCTTCCTTTCAAAGCAATCGCAGTAGTAATTTCTACTTCCTTATGATCATGCACGATCTGTTATGTAGTTCTTGTGGGCAATTAAGGGAGTCTGATACCTGCAGTTTTCCCTGGGACCAAAATCCGTAGCTAGAGCTCTTCCCCCTACAATACATTGAAAAATTTATAACTCCCGTGAGGGGTGTGTGTTCAGTCAGTGTATTTCCCTTATGGAGATGTACCCTTCAAGGACAACTCTTATAAAAAAAATATGGAAAACTAAAATTTCAACTTTTGCAGGGTAATGCAGCATGAAGAGAAGTTGAAGTACCACAGAATAATATAGGTTAAAAGAGCTCATCTAGTCTAATCTCGCACTTAAAACAGGGCAGACTTCAAATTTAGATCAGGTCGCTCAGGGTCTTGTCCAGAAGACTTTTTAAAATCTCCAAGGATGGAGATTCTGCATCATTTTTGATTGGTCTGTTCAGCAGTGTTATTGTGAAAGACCTTTTCCTCAGGACCAACTGAAATTTTTACTTGTAACTTATGATTGTTGCCTCTTGTCCTTTTTCTATGTCTCTCTGAGAAGAGAAGGTTGCATCTTCTCTACAAGCTATGTGTAGGTAGTGGAAGATTGCAATTAGACCCCTCCGTTCCTTTCTCTACTCCAGGCTAAATAAAACCATCTTCCTCAGCTGGAATCCAGTTTGCTTCTCTTGTATGAGAGCCCATAAATCTCTGTGTCCTTTTTTGCAAAGGTTTTTTAACCAGCCATCGACCAGCCTTCATCAGTACATCACAGGTGAGGAACTTCGCGTCTGGCTGAACTCATGATATTCCTGTCAACATGTTCCTGCAGCTTGTCGAGCTCCTTCTGACTGGCAGCGCTGCCCTTCAGCACACCGACGACTCCTGCCACCATGGGGTTTCTTGTAGGCTCACAGAGGATCCTTCCACTTCTTTGTCCTTGTCATTAATGGACTGATTCCTGAGGAATGACACTGATTATCAGCCACTGATGAGACTTTGGCAGCCTTGCAACAGCATCAGCTAGCCCTCTCAGCACCCTTGAATACCTTCTGGCCAGTGCCATGGATGCTCTGTACATCCAGGTGTAGTAGTCCCTAAC